GAACATAGTGAAATTAAAACAGGGAAATTAGGAAATGGAGAGAAATTTGAATTGCCTCCCTCCTGGACCAAGAGATTATGGTATCAACACCTGTACATCTGCCTTGCTATCTAAAACTCAGCCTTTTTTTAAGGCCCCAGACTGGGGGCAGCAAATCTCTACTCAAATCCCTACCAGAAGGAGTTGTTTCTGCCTTCCCTAACCCCTCCCCCCCTCGAATAGAGGGGAAGAGACAGCCTGGACCCTGAGTCTGAACACTACAAGGATAGAGGATTTGGGTCAAACATCTAAGATGACAATCACTTCAAGAGTGCCCACTGCAACCACTGTCTTGGAACATTGCAGGCTGGTTAGGTAAATCCACAAATCCGGACTTTTATAGTTTTCTTCCAGAATTTGACATTCTGATGTTTCAGGAGACATGGATGCTTGATAAATCTGACCCTAAAATTTCTATGCTTGTTTTAATATGGCCTTGTCAAACCAGAGAGGGCATAGGGTTAAGGGAAGCTGGTGGTTCTTGTTTCAGCCAAACTCCCAATTAATGTAGTACAGCTTCTCTTTTATGATGATCATGTGATAGCTGAACTTGTAAACTTTAATCAACATGCAATATTATGTATAAATCCTTACACCTGTATAGACAGATTAGAAAACATTTGAGTGAGTTGACCCAAATGACCTACAAACACAATCTCTATATTTTAAATGGTGCTATTCATGGAGATCTTCCTGGACAATGCACATTTTGGTCAGGCTCCAACCTCTCAACAATCTCTCATAGTTTGTCCTCAGAATTAACCATTTTGAAATATTACCAAGAATGGAAAGTGACCACTTACTTTTATTTTTAGTTGTTTTATCCAGGGCATTGCCTTGCCAATTCCTCCAAGACTTCTTCCCTTAGCTAGTGCTGATGCTGGTTTAAATGGAATAGGCATCTGAGTTAGGAAATTACCAGCTACCGTGGCTCAGAAAAATGCAAGAGCTTATGGGAGTGGGGAAAAAATTATCATCATGACCATCTTTATAAAAGTTGATAGACACTACCTACTAATTTTACACCTATAAGTCTTCTAAATATAATCAGCAAATTGTACACAGAGGATCTATGCATGAAGCTTTATGACTGGCTAGAGCAAGATAACATCATGGAAGATGAGCAAGTAGGCTTTAGGGAAGAGCAAGCAACTGTAGACCACTGTCTCCTCCTGTAACATCTAGCTGATAACTGCACCTATAATTCTCACACACAATTCATAGGCTTTAAGGAGGACCTTGATACCATTCAGGATCCTGCTTATAGGACAAACTCCAACAATCCATCATGGATGGGTGCTTGCACAAGCAAACAAGAGTTAGAGTTTGGCATAGCACTAATGGGCAGCTAACCAATCCAATAACATCAGTGAAAGGCATGAGACAGGATTGTATTTTGGCTCCATATTTAACATCTCTAATCAGATGAGACTGTGATCCACACGCTCCCAAAATAAGGGGCAAACATCTCTCTATTCTACTCTGGTGGATGATGCAGTGATCCTTCCCTTGACCCAAGGTTGATTTAGAAAGTCCTTTAGTGTACTTAGTCAAACTGAAGAGCAGCTTATCATAAATTATCAAATAATCAAATTGATTGTATTTTCTGATAGCCCCCCAAAGTACAGCTGGTACATATATAAACCTATAGTAGAACAGGTCAGCTGCTTCAAGTACCTAGGTGTAGTTTTTCAAGTTTCTGGACACCAAGGGACACACATCAAACATGCCACTTCTATACAAGTATGGCAGCCATTTTATGGTTCTTCAGGAATCAGGGTGGCTATTTTATACCCACAGCTGCACAGAAAATGTGCAACTTCTTTACAATGTGCAACTGCAGCCCTATATAAACTTTCGTTTATATGAAAGAATAGAATTGCATTTTCTGAAAGCCATATTTTATACACCAAGAAGTATCCCTAATGTGAACCATCCAAATACTTATTTTTGCTATCACAGTAAAAACAAAGCACTGTTTTATCCACATTGACATACAATATTTGTCAGCGACAAATTTAGCGACTCCCTCAGACAGTGAATGTTTGCAGTTAGAACAGTGATGAAAAAGTAACTTTGCAACCAATGCCTGCATTTACGATGTCCGCAGCGTGTCTCTCTCTCTCAGTCGCATGTTCATACTTATTGTCCTGTGTCTGACCTGTTTTTTTCCCCCACACCTTGCAAAGTGGAGAGATTGCCTAAACAAACTATCTCTTCCTGAGCTGCTTTTCTCTGCAGCCCAGTGTGTCCCTAAAAAGTGCTAAGTGGCTGACAACTGCTGCCTGAAATTGACAAGACCCCAATCAGTTTCACACCAAAGGCTTTTGTTTGCCTCCTAAGCCGCTCCTGGCCAGCACACTAAGCAAACAGCCAGCACTAGGCATTCCTTTCAATGTGTATTTCCCATTGTGTGCCTGCTTACTCTTTTGTAATCCCTTCTACTCCAATGAATGTAAATACATACATCAATTCTCTTCTTGCTAATTATCCCAGCACTGAGGTGAGCATTCCAGAGGGCCAGGGGAGTGGGGGAAAAGGGCTTTAAGATTTGCCCTTTTATCCAGCTTCCTTGTGAATCAAGTTCCAGAAACCTTCCCCGCTGTTTGGGCTCACCCAGCTGTATGGGGTTAAATCCTTCTGATGCTGTAGAGCAAAGCAAAGCTGAAGTAAAATCATAAGCACAGTCGCAGTAACATGATTTTAATTTAGTGACTGCTTTGCTTTATGACCTGATTACCGATCCCAATTGGGGAGTTGCCAGTCCCAATTGTCCAAGCAATTAGTGTAAGTCGTATTTATAAATTATTTTCCAAGTTTTCGTATTAACCTGTGCCATAGCTGAACTTTGGAATCTCAGTCTTCAAAAGCAGCCATCTCCAACTCAGCAACCTCCCAATGTGTTGGGGTTACAACGCCCACAGCTTCTTAACCAACATAGTTGGTGAATATTGGCATAAGACAAAACTATAGTTAACCTCCTGCCTGCCATGGTAAAGGAGCTAGGTGTTGAACTGATGACTGACAATTCATTCTTAATTTTTAAATAAATAATTAACGGGACTACACTTGGTACACACATACTGTTCACATGGGATCTGCAAATACTGCAGCAAGCCACATCAGTTAAGCCTGGATTTAATTTGAAACAAAACAAATTATCCTCCTAGCTTCAGTTTATTGAAAGTCTGTTAAAATCAGTGGTCTTTGCTTTCAAGAAGTTGCCTTTAGAATTGTGATTTAAGACTCAAATGGAAAAATTAGAAGTGACAGAACTGCTTTATGAGTGCTTTAGGAATAGTGTATATATAAAGAGCCTAGATCAGTAACATCTAATGGAAATACTTTAAAGTGTCGTAGGCTGGTGCTGTGTTTGTATCCCCCAAGCTCCAAAGGCCCTGATTTCAGTTCTGAAGCACTGCAGCATCACTGATCTTATTGTCTCTGCTGCTCATTTGGTTGTTTGCTTATTTTGTATATAAAATCTAAATATTTTACTTTGGGTTTTGTTCACATTTACATTTATTGATTAGTCTAATGATCATATCGGATGAAATAAGATAAAATAATGCAGCCTATTGAGATATAAAACATATTCGGTGAAATAATCAGGTAAGATCATCCCCTTGGCAATTGACCCCATTCTGATCTAGATAGGAAGCTCTCAGTTGAATGGCTTTAGCTATAAATTTGGCAGTCTGTTACTGTCCATGTGATTGTACCTTGGAGGAAGTAATATAGTTCAGTGTTCCTCAACCTTGACCACTTGAAGATGTGTGGACCATGCTGGCTGGGGAATTCTGGGATTTGAAGTCCACACATCTTCAAGTAGCCAAGGTTGAGGAACCCTGATATAGTTTATGGACAGGGTCCTAATGGCCTATCCTGTCAGTCAGTGACTAAATGCTGTGCTTTGGCTGAAGCAATTGGGGGTCAAAGAAGACATGCTGACTAAAACTAAATTTTTAGTTGAAGTAGTTAACTTTCTTTAAACAAAAAACAAAAAAATGTAATACATTTATGTATTACTTGTTTATGTTTTTTAAAGAACATTAACTGCTTAAAAACAATATGTAATTTCAGTCAGCAATCTATCTCCAGAGCCAGGTTTCACTTTTCGAGGTCAGAAAGCTATAAGAGCGGAGTCATGTTGACAATTGGGCAAACTACCGATTGAGATGATTTGGTTCTGCAGCAATCCCATCCTTTTTCCATGTTCCCAAACCTGCTAATAATTTAGCTTATTCCCCATTACTGCACACAGTGAAAGAGACTTTATTAAATAAACAGACCAACATCTGCTTCCAGAGACAGTGCTCTATCACAGTTGTTTGTCAATCTTCATTTCTCCCCTGATGGTCTGATAAGTTTGAGATTCTTATGCCAGTCCTGTATGAATTGTAGTTTACTACTGTTTGGGAAATTCACAAGGAGTTAATGTTAAAATGGACAGTAGATGTATTTTATTACTATTTTGCCTCAATTCTGTTACCAAGAATCATTAATGAGATGGAAGGAATATAATGCTGCATGGCCTTTTATTTGAGAGAAATGAATCACATATTCATCAAATACATCAATCATTCAGCTTTTTTAAAAAGCTGCTTAATAATTTGTTACTAGAATGGATCACAATGTTCAGTACTAAAACCTGTTGCAATTCTTATCTGACATGACTGTTTAAGAAGGCATGATATTCATTTAGATTTCCATAGAAGTTTACTGAAAAATAAACCTATTGAATGTAGTGAGGCATAGTCCTAAGTAAATGTGTATAGAATTGCAGCAGAAATATAAATCAGATTATGATCAAGTTTTTTTTAAAAAAAAAAACATAGTTCTTAAGACTAGGTTCTTTTTTTTTTTTTTTTACCAACCTGTCAATGTTACTTTAATTTTGTTTACAGTTATCTTTCCATTTTTATGCTTCTCTCTTTTTTTTCCCTTTTCATACCCTAAAGCTACTGAAAGAGATAGCACGAAAACGCAGAAGCATCCGTTTGGGGAGAGAAGCAGATTTAAAGCCATATATTGCAGCACGCTTTGAAGTTCTTCCTACTGAGTTCACCCTGGGGGATAAAAAACAGTATGGTGGTTTTGAGAACAAGCAGCTCCAAAACGGCCAAGAATATGTTGTCTTTATTTTAGCTGTTATGGAACATTCAGAATCAGTAAGTTGGCTGCAGGTTTGATTTTTTTTTTCCCCTAAATGTACTGTTAAAAGGCTATGTAGCTTATCTCTCTGCACAGTTCATGCTTTGATCATGTTCTATAAGGATAGTTACATACTAAGAAATGGTTGCATGTTTTGAGTGACTTAAATTACAAGAATACTCTCTATATGCATTTTAAATACCTGAACTTATTTCTTTATTTCGTCAAATTTATATGGCTGCCCATCTCACACAAGGTGACTCTAGGTGGCGTGCAACAAAACCAACCATTAAAATCGAGTATAAAAAACAATGAAAACAATTAAGTAATCAACAGAAGTAAAATCAAGATTGTAAGAGAGTTAATTAAGATGTCATACATGGTGCAACCAATGCTCGGGCTCTCTGCTGTCAGGGGATCCCCAGGCCTCATGAAAAAAAAATGTTTTGAGGGCTTTCCGAAAGGCCATAAAGGCTGGGGCTAATCTCACCACTTAGAGATGCAAATAAGCAACACGGAACAGCAAGAGGGCACAGCTCTCTGTTTCTGCCGCTATTTACCTTCTCATATTGATATGTTATCTAACCATGATGTTTGTGTGTTTATTCTAGCTATATGGTATGCCATTCACATGTACACGTATAATATGTCCCCAAATTGAAGGGGTATTATACATAGTAATGATTGAGTACACCATATGTTAAAGACATTGCCATGGAAAGTAATGATAAGTTTAAGTCATAGTATTTCCGTTTCTCAGAGTAGATGGTTGGTCTCATCATTTTACTCATTATTGTATATTTTCTGCTTTGCTTCTTGAAATCTCTGATATGTTACTGAAGCATGAATTTTACATCTTATCATTCCTTTAAAACACGGCTTTTTCCTGTCTCAAGACATGCTGTCCAGACAGTGTTGCTCTTTGCCAAGCATCTCTGGAAAACAGGAACTAATCAAGGACATGCACAACTAACTTCTTTAATTACAGTATTTTGCTACTGACCAGCAGTGAAATGTAACAGAGTTAGAAAATATTGTAACAAAAAGTAGAATTCCTGAGGTGATTTAAATAACTAATTGTACTGTCATGCAATTCATCTCTTTCATATGCCTGTTACATGCTTGAGTTATTTTAACTTTATGTAATATATTTTAAAAAATAATGAAACAGGAAGGGAAAGAGGATTGTGGGAAAGAATAGCAGCAGACATTAACATTTCAATTTACAAGTTACATGGTCTTTTTCTAATTGGTTGTTAACCTGCCATGTGTATTTACTGGGCTGGCTCTGTTGAATTTAATTAATTTTATTTAAAGGCTTATTGTAGGCTGTTTTTTTTTTCTTTCCCCAGGTGCATTGTTAATTGCAAAAAAGTCTTCCTTGTTTAATATTCTTTTACAATTGTAGTTGTGTTTGGTAATGATCATCTCAGTTATTCCTTTTCTATTTTTATCTGAAAAGTGTTGCCAAACTGAATCTGTGAGGACAAAGGGCATTACATCTAGTTCTAATTCACACAAATTATGTATGCAATAGAATATCTCTCATATTCACTACAAGATTATCAAGTAAGAATCTTCTTCCCTTCCAGACCATGTATGCGACCAGCCCATATTCTGAAACAGTTGTGTCAGTAGACCTTAATCCCCAGCCAATTACAGAAGAGGAAGAAGGCTTGATTTGGGTTGTAGGACCAGTCCTTGCAGTTGTATTTATCATCTGTATTGTTATAGCTATTCTACTGTATAAAAGGTAAGTTTACAAAATAGTTTACAAAGAAGGGTAGGCTTTAGATGTATTAATTGTGTTGAAAATATTTTGAGATTAAAAAAAAAAAAGCTTGCTTACATAAAAGTCTCCTTTTAGACATTGAATAAAATCAGAGTTTCATTCTTATCAGATGAAGGCATCACCCAGGCTAGAAGTCTCTTCTAGATTTCTGTAAAAAATCCAAACAGGAGCAATAATTTCCCAAGAGGGAATGCAACCTCATTCCCAGTATAATTTTTTCTTAGAAGCAAGAACTATATTTTGCAATTTATGCTTTCCCTTGCCTTATTTCAGTTTCATCTCTTTACCAGGTTAAACTGCTACCATCTATGCTATTTGTTCTTTTTGACATTATCATTTGTGGCTATACCAATTAGTTCCATGTTTGAGAACTGGCTGGGGGAAAAAAAATCATACTCTGAACCAGGGAAAACAACATATTCTTAAGAAAAAAAGTGAAGAATATATTTGTTTTTTATGAGAGGCAAAAAGAGACGGGAGGAGAAATATGATAGACCAGGGTTCCTCAACCTTGGCGACTTGAAGATGTGTGGATTTTCCACACATCTTCAAGTCG